GTAATTCCCTGGATGTTTTGTATTTTTATTACTCTCCATGAAAATTTGCTTCTTATATGAAAAAGTACTCTGCAGTTTAAATCATTGTTCTTTAATTGGTACACATACTTGCAAATAGCGAAATGTAATTTTTCTCTCCTTCTCCCTCTCTTCTCATGCTTCTGAAGGGACCTGTTAATTAGTCTTTTCAGACATGGAACTTAGGCTCTCAACAGTGATTTGTGTGTTTCGTTATTTCAGTGGGTCTACGTCTAATGCAGGCCAAATGCTGTCTGGAGTTGCACCTCTATGGTCAGCATTAATGGTAGCTTCTAGCGCTTGTCAAGCTGGTGCATCAATTATGAAGGTTACAACAGTCAATAACGTAAATAATGCACTTGGTATAGAAAATGTAAATGGACGTTGACTTCGAATTTTCTCGACAGGAATTTATTTTCATTGATGCTGGAAACCGTCTTCATGTATGAAAATTTCTGCTATTTGAGCATCTCTTTTCTTTGGTTATATGTATTCAAGTGATAAATATTTGTGCAGTTGTTTTCCTTAACTCGTTCAACTTCTTTTGCTTCTAGGGGAAGTCACTAGACATTTTTGTGGTCAATTCTTTTGGATCTGGATTTCAGGTTAGAATTTTACAAGTTCATCTCGAAATTGAATGTCTTAACTTTAAGTTTACTTATCTGGCTGGTTGAGTGGTGCATATAATCAAGTACTACTCATTATCTTTTCCATAGTTCTAAAGCATGTTAAAAAGAAATGCCATTGGTTTATGGATAAATTCATTTCTTGAAATCTCATATTCAGGTATATTTATTTTTGAGTTTCAACAGTTGACATTCACGCACAGGCACTTTTTGTTCTTCTCCTTCTACCATTTCTTTCAAACTTGAAAGGAATATCTTTAGCCCAGCTTCCCTCATATCTGATGCATGGTGCTGCTTGTTTTCTAAATATTGGTGCTGAAAGACCAGGTAAGGTCTTACAATCTTATGAACAATTAATACATGTTCTGCCATTATCATCTTGAATTCGTCATGGATACTACTTACAGTTTGGTGTTACCTTCAACATAGATATGATGCCTTAATTGTGTAATTATCACACGGAAATTAAAGCTGATAACTTGAAACCTTTACTATAACTTCATATTGGAAATGAATCTAAACTCAAAACAGGCTGCCTTTTGTAGAACAAGGAATTGCGATTTTTTGGTACTTCAGTAATACAACAATTGTTGCATGAATATAAATTAAGATTATAAGTTGGCATGCTGATTAAATTAAAAAAAAAAATTCACAGTTTTATTTGATGGACACGTTTTGCATTTCATGGATCCCTATCAGCAAGGTCTTAATAATTTTCTTATGCTTCTTGCATAACCATGCACATCATTTTCTCAAGATTTGTCACATGAGATGCAGAAGATTGTACTATCTTGAGATAACATGCTCAAATATGGGGTTGTCTATTAATTATCAGCCCCACTCTTTTCTTCTCCACAGGGAGAGTACTAGCTACTCCTCTTAACACGAAACAATGTATTAGCCACTCCCATTGGCTTGAATCGGTTTTTTTGGGGCCAATGGATTAACTTCCTTACCCATATGAAATATGGGCTTTACTTTTGCAAAGAAAATCGCCACGCCGAAACTAATGGGTCTAATCTATTGCCTGCAGATTGTAAAGGGGCTCCATTGCTTCCCCTGCTTTATGTGATTACAAATTTGGCTTTCAACATAACTTTGCTCAGTCTAGTGAAGAAATTTTCCGCAGTTGTTGCTTCTCTTCTTGTGATGCTTTCAGGTTATTTTCTTCTCTGGAGAACTTATGAACCAATTTTACACAATGTTAAGAAATCAATGAGCTAATGGTTTGGTTTTTTTGGCATTGCAGTGCCGATTTCAATTTATATTTTGTCTCTTCCATTGCCATATCTTCCTGAAGGCGCAAGCTTAAGCCCCCTGTTTCTCACTGGCAGTTTGTTGCTAGTGTTGGGTCTTGTTTTTTACTACATTCCCCAACGTTCAAAGTAAGCCACCAAAATTGCTCAATAATACCGCGACTCGGCTCAGCTGGTAGCATCAGCGACGGCATCCCTCCCATTTTCTAAATTAGAAATTGTAAAAAATAGTAAAAGAAATCTAGTCTACGAATCTTGGTTATGAACATACAATTTGTTGCAAGTCGTTGAGTTATATTGATTTTGTATAATGATTTTCAAATTGCTATTTAGTTTTAGTTTAATGCATTCCACTGAATTATAGCTATTATGGATGCTGCTATGTCATGTAGGATAAATAATCACATATTTAAATTTTTAATGAAATAGATGAAGTTGAGCATAATGGAATTTAAGAACTACCAAAATCAATCCTATCGAAAACATATTGTACTTCGAGATCTTTAAGCTTTGAGAATATTGACAAAACTTTTTGGATTTTGTACTGCAGGTCTGATAATTGTTTGAAAGCTATATTGAAATTTGGGTTTTATTAAAAAAAAAAAAAAGAACTACTAGGTGTAACTTGTAAGCATAGCATATTTAGATAATTACACTAAAAAATATTGTTCTGTGTTCTATTTTAATTTGTTTCCGAAATTGATCACTATGAAATTGGCTATTGGATTCAAGTCTAGTGCACATTTATTTCTTTTACTACAACTTAGAAACGCTTGGTTGAAATTTGTTTAGTACAGTATATTGAGGTGGGGATCGAACTCACAATCTCTTGGTTTGACATATACGTAAATTACCACTGGACTATGCTCGTTTTTTACGAAACGTTGAGTTGATTGATCTCTAGAGATGCTCTAAATGAATGATATGATACACTGTCATGACATATTGTTGCTGGGAAGAAAAGACAAAAAAAGCTTCATAAAAGTTACACTTTTGTTATTTTGGAAAAGTTATGCGTGAGCTTGATTATGGAGAATGTTGTGTTTAATTTCCACTTGACTGTTAGATGTTTATTACATCTAACACCACAATGCTTAAAGAAACTAGTAAGAAACACGTGCGGTGCACGTGAAATTTCATAGTTTTTATTTCCATGTTTAAAAATATAAAATTTAATTAAATAGTTAAAATTTATAATATAATTTGGTTTTTTTATCTCTAAATGTTTACCTCGCCAAGTTTTTTCGTATTTTCAATGTTTATCTCATAAAACGTCTCAATAATTCTCATCACCCATCGATGTGGTTAGTATGACTAAAAGTATTATTCTTCAATTACTTAAATTTCTTTAAAAAAAAAAACACATATTCATGGATTTTTCATCTTTTTTTTTTCCCCTAAACATAACAAT